GCTCAGGAGCAAGCAAACTCTCACTGTATAGGTTTGCATGCACAATGGTTTTGTTCGCCAATGGTTTTGTAGGCCAGTAAACAAAACCTGTGTGAACGCCCTAAAAACATGAACAACGCTTTGTGTTTGCATTTTAGCGAAAGCGACTTTCACGCTTGTGTACGGCAAAGATTTCCGTATGAGGCGCGCTGACGCGAATATACTAGAGAATATTTTTATTTCTCCCATAGTACTCAGACACTGATGTGCAGTGATCTACATAAGAGAACAAAATATGAGAAGGAAGAAGAATATCATGAGCACCTTCGCATTCGAGTAAGTTTAGGTGAATGCTTGAAGAAACGTGTGACTTCTCGAAGCAGCACCACTGGAAGCCCCGTCAACCCTAGCTGTTAATTTTGTCAACGCATGGGCCTATTCTAGTCTGTTCTAGGGTTTGTCTCGGGTAATACAAGTTTCAAGTGGTATCCTCTACTTACTAGTTTCCTAGAATACCATATCATCCAGTCTTCACAGTGCTATGCATCCAAGGAGTTGTGAGCTGCGAAACAAATTACAGCCACTACGCTGTACAGGTGCCAAATATAAATTCAAGTGCATCTGGTAATCCACAGTGACCACAATCTGGAACTTTGTCACTGCAGCTGACCATATGGACATGATTTCACGTGATCATGTTGCACTTCACGTTATACCATTAATAAATGACATCATTAGCTCTTTGGCCTCACGTGAACAGCACAAATGTGGTTATGGTAGTGATCATAGCTTTCCTACAAACCTATGGACTGGATGCACGTCTTTGGGTTTGCCCCAACGCGGGAGGAACTGTATTCGCACCTCACTAACTAACCCTCCCCAATTATTACTCTTGTTCCCCTGTCCCCCTTCTCCAACATAGAGTTGCCGGCCAAAGATAACTTTAGCCCAAATCACTGTCTCTGCCTTTATTCATTTGAATGAATTCTTTATCTCTCTTCAGCCCCGCCGCGGTGGTCTAGTGGCTAAGGTACTCGGCTGCTGACCCGCACGTCGCGGGTTCGAATCCCGGCTGCGGCGGCTGCATTTCCGATAGAGGCGGAAATGTTGTAGGCCCGTGTACTCAGATTTGGGTGCACGTTAAAGAACCCCAGGTGGTCTAAATTTCCGGAGCCCTCCACTACGGCGTCTCTCATAATCATATGGTGGTTTTGGGACGTTAGACCCCACATATCAATCAATTTATCTCTCTTCAGCCACGGTGAATACCAGCTGGTTGGCGTTCTTGGCCTACCAGGGAGCACAATCGCCTTGGTATCCCACCACTCCTTCGGCACGTGCGGCACAGTGCCCTTTGCAGCAGAAGCCGCAAGACACTTCCTATCTTCGTCGGACACCGGTGCCGAACACACCATCGTCACCAGTGTCCTCCTCGCCCGTCCGCAGAACATCGTCCGAGATTTCCTCGACTACGGTGTACGACGTGAGCGCCATGTACATGGTGCCACTCTGCGCCTTTAACTTCTTCCTCATGGTCGGTTAGTGTACCTCACTCACACTGCTTAAATAAGCCAACGACGTGTTCAAGTGTCAGAATCGATGGAGATCCGACCGCTTCACGATTGTCACACTCAGCAAAAAAGGCGCGAAATAAACTCACAGAAAAGAAAGGAGTAGGAAACCAACACATGAGTGCTGTTTTCCTACTCCTCCCTTTTCCTACTCCTCCCAAACAGGAGTAGGAAACCACCCTTCGGGGTGGTTTTTGTAGGAGAAATATGGCTTACACGCTGTTAAAACGAGTACACAAATTACTTTCCTACATTATTTATTTATTTATTTATTTATTTATTTATTTATTTATTTATTTATTTATTTTCTCTCTTTCGCATTGTGCGGTGCTTCCTTCATTAATTCTGGGAATCGTACCTTCAAATACGCGCTTAGCACCATAACACTTCAGTTGCTACAGCCAACGACTGCGATGCGCTCATATCCAGAGCAACCATAAAATTTCGCAACGTGAAATGACCAGTCACCTCGATAACCCCGACGAAAGGTCAGACTGCCGTACCCGACACGGCTGATCAACGAAATATCCCCAAACGAGAGCATACATTTTTGTAAAAAGGCACATACTAAAACGCATGTGACCTGCGCGCTTGCGAAGGCCGCACGTCTGTATACGCCTGCCGGCGCCAAGTATTCCGTGAGTGACGCCACCTAATGCTGCGAATTATAACGAGCTTCGATTGTACAGCATGTCAGCTCACCGCTGTTGTACTCTTATATTTTCGGGGCGGCTCACAGCTCAACAATGTTCAGTACTCGAAATCATTTACCACTCATTCTGAACACACAACTCTGCGATACGTTACATCTTCTTACGAGAGATAGAATTCCTGTCGCGGCAGCCGCATTTAGAGGGTCTCAAAGCGCCAGAGGAACGAGGCTCATTGAAAAGAACCCCGGGTGGTGTCAACCTTGTGTGTTTAGAAAACGTGGTTGACGATTGATAGTACTAGGTACCCTACTATCTAACTTCTGTCGCCGCTTTAGCGTCTCCTTAAGATAGCCATTCGCTGTGGCGTCTCATAATCATGAAGTGGTTATGGGACGTAAAACCTCAACCATTATTCTTTCTACATCGCTTAAGTGACACCCGATTTTCCGTCATAATCTGATCTTCGTAGATTAAGCATTGTGCAATCATTCGCAAATCAGCCAACGAAATTTTAGCGCATTTGTTCGAACACTTAATTTATAAGTGAATATTTTCATAAGCACTAGGGCGGTCTCAGAGTCAGGCAACACTGGCACACTCACGAGTCGTGTCGTTAAAAGTAACTAGTTACGTGATTCCGACGAATGACATTGTTCTGTAGTCAGCTGCACGCGAAATCGAGGCATTTTACCCTTCTCCAGCTTGACTCTGAAATTGGAAAACTTGCAGCGGCTGTAATTTTGGTGTATGACAACGGCTCTGCTCCGTCCAGCACATGACGTCACATGCATCGTGGTAAAAGGGCAGTCGCCGGTGGAGGTTGGAGTTTACAACCGATGATTTTTAAGTTTCGTTGTGCGCTTAAAAATCTTTTTTTCGACCCACTTCGCCTATGTTATATTGTGTGGAGTTCAACGTCCCAAAATCGTCATATGATTACGAGAGACGCCGTAGTTGAGGGCTCCGGAAATTTGGACCACCTGGGATCTTTTAAAGGGACCTTGAAATAGTTTTGGCAAATCTTTTACAAACGCATTGGGCCGGTAGATCTAGTCTCGAGGGTAACTTATAGACCGATTTGAGCTTTCTGCGTAAACTGTGTAATTTATTACAACACTTTAAAGCTGCGAATCACTCCAGATCGCTGCATATCGCTGCGACTCGGCCAAACGCGTTTTCAACCGCCCACACACCAAGCGACACACTCTGCCCCACTGACGCCATCATTTTCAGCTGATCTGATTGGCTGTAGAGCGTACAGCACAGACTTCCGGTGTCGGATCAGTGGCGGGATTTACGCGTGTGCGGTCTCACGCCATATAGTGACCCAGGCGCCGTGAAGGCGGAGCTTAGCCCTGAGCGCAGTTAAGGGTGAGGGGCAGAGCGGAGGAGGAGGGTGCTTTTTTAGTACTAGTTATTAACGATTGTTTCGATTGAACTATGGCGCCAGTGATTTGCTTCTGTAGTGGTCTAATAAAAAAACGAAAATCGAAAAAAAAACGTTTTAAGGGACCCTTTAACGTGCACCCGAATTCGAGCGCACGGGCGTGCCGAGTTTTTTGCAGCAGCCGGGGTACGGTCCCGTGACCTTGGGCTTAGCAGTCCAGCGCTATAACCTCTAGACCACCGCGGCGGGGTCACTTTTCGTATCTGTATTGACGTAATAGACCCTCTACTAGTAGTTTTCGCTTAGAACCACAAATCCTTGGGTGACTGCGTCATGGCCTTTTTAACGAAACCGCGTTGCACGTAGCTTCTTCGGTAGTGTTCCTAAGCAGCCTGTACGCCAAGTTCGAGCCACGCCATTCGGGCAAACACTCGTTCACGGCTCCAAGCACGTTCCTGGTGGCGCTGCTGTTCAACCTGGAGACCGTGCTCATGGTGGCTTCTGGTTTGCTTTTCCTCACCGCCGCCGTGGGTCTCTTAGGAGCGGTGAGAGAGAACGTGTTCCTGCTGGAAGTCTACCAGAACGTCGTGATGGTGCTCGTTGTGCTGACCTTCGGTGCGTCCCTGCTCGTCGCGGGAATGCCGTGGCTCGCGCACGCTTTCATCATGGATCACGTGACCGATGACTTTGTGGTCCACTACCGAGACAAGGCCGACTACAAAAAAGTGAGCATGCGCTTGGATTAGGATCGTCTCTTTCTCGCTCATAATTAGCAATAGAAGTCCTCGTGCGTTACATGCATAAATTGCATTTATGATTAATAAAGTATAATAAATCGTTGAACGGGGATGTCGATTGTGCCGACATTTTATAAGCAGAATTGTCTTGGTCAAGCTGCAGCCTTGACGGGGAAGAAGTACTAAAGAGCGCTAAGTGTTCTTGAGCAGGAAGACTAACTGGCCAAGCTTATTTGCTTTGCGTCACAACAAAAAATATGAAGGCTTGCAAGAAAAAACTCAAGATGACAGAGGAAGCCATAGAAATAAACTTGATAGGTGTGACCTTATTCAACAAGAGAGCACAGTAAGTCAGGGAACAAGCTGGTGCTAAAAAAAAATCTTACTTTTTGAAATGAGAATGGACAGGGCACGTTCCACAATAGCAAGATAACCGCTGGTCATTAAGAGTAACAGAATAGATTCTAATGAAAGGCAAGCGTACGGGCCATGGGGGAGGCAGAAAGTTAGGTGGACAGATTATATTACGGAGTTTGCAGAGATAACGCGGCCACAGCAAGCACAAGATCTTACTGCTTGTCGAAACATGGCAGAGGCATCTGTTCTGCAGTGTACATAGTCAGGCTTGATGATGATGATGATAATGATGACGATGATGATGATGATGATGATGATGGCGCAGACCATTGACTACCTGCAGACTACCCTGAGCTGCTGCGGCATGACCCAGGCCGGCTACCGGGACTGGCAGGCGAACGTGTACTTCGCCTGCAACGAGAGCAATCCCAGTCCCGAGCGGTGCAGCGTTCCGCCTTCGTGCTGCCGTCATGCGCCTGGCCAGGCCGTCAGACGGTCGGCGGGAAACGTCCTCGGGGGAGACGCGTATCCCCCCATTCCCAGCACTCTCTGTGGACGCGGAGTGCTTCGCATGTCTGATCGCGACGCTTGGAAGGTGATCAATGTTGCCGGAGTGCCTGGCAGCATTAGGCGATCTTTTGCAATCAAACAAAACAGTGCCAAGAAAAACGAGGCAGAAGCAAAAAAAAAAAGAGACAAAGAATGAGAGCTTACAAATAACAAGTTTTTATTGCATCAATGCGAAACTCAGAGGGTCCCTTTTGTATTTGCCCAAGGTAACTCGAAGCGGAAAGCTAGCTTCTTTCCTTTTTTCCCCCTTCACGTATTGATCCTTTCCGCCCCCATCCCAAAAACTTTGTGCGCCTAAGAAGGTTTTGCACAGCCTACGGGATCCGAGGAATTGTGAACTTTCTGCACTTGCCCTGCTTTTGCAAAGGCTCCGTGATCGCTTCACATTTGACCAAGCTGTGGTACTATGTGATGATGTCGTCATGTGGCGTCATGTTGTGTGACATCATATTGACGACACGAAAATGTCACAGCGACGTAAACAATTAAGATTTATGACGTTTGATGACGTCATGTGGTGCGGTCTTCTCGTGACAATGACGCCGACACCGCGGAACGCCGGTGGTGGCTTTCAAGTTTGATGAGACATTAAGGCTCGCGCCCTAATCTAAAGGAAAGTCGGCAGAAAACCAACCGCGTGTGAAATACGAAACCTTCATTAAAATATCAGGACCCATGGACATGGTAGAACTTCAGTTGTGGATCGGCAATTTTCCTGCGTGCTTCTTCGTTCGAGCTTCGTCGTTTTTGGCATTGTTTTTCACGGTTACAACTGTGTCCAACTCGCTCAGGGAATAACACTTCTGCCGTAATGATTATGTACTACACTAAGTGGTTATGCTTGGGGAATTTACTTAACTGTGACATACATGTTGGTAACGAAAAGAACCTATTCGGGACTGAGATAATAGGCCAAGTTAAACATCACCTGTGCCCACTTGTGTACCACATTGTGTTTGCTGTATGCGTTGGAGCGTCTTCCCTCCATGAGCGTAAGCGGTGCGATGCGACCACGGGTCACAAAAGACGGTCGCACGCAACGCACTGTCTGCGTTTTTCACTGTTTACGTATGAGACTGTTTTCGATGGAGATTTTTATTTTGTCTGTAAAATTTCTAACATTTGTCGACAACTGGTATAAGGAGCCGTTGACTGGTAATGTTGTCTATAAAGTGAACAACTGTTCTTTTTTTTCTCATTTACGTCCCAGGTGATCCATCTGGGAGGATGCGGAGACGCCATATTCCAAACACTGCGTGCACACAACTTGGAGCTCGTCTTGATCATGTTGGTGCTGGTCGCATACCTTCTACTCCTAAACTCTCTCGCTTCTTCGGTGCAGTCACAGATCAGGTCGCTCAAAAGGATATACGATAAGTACTACGAGTGAGTGCGTAAACATTTATTTATTTTTATTATTTTGTCAAACACAATGAATCCCGCTAGTGTGGAAGACTCCGCACATATTGTTTACTATCAGGAGTTGCGTTACATTCCCATCCTGTCATATGTGACAGCATCAATACTCGCCCCAATGCGGCAAAATTAATGGCCCATGTACGTTCTCGTAGACATTTTCGTAGTACGCTGAGTGCAACATGTCCATACGTATGAATGTTAGCCAAAACTGTTTCCATGAATTCCACGTGAAGTAGTAGCACATGTGGCAAATGTTTGTTTGTTTTTTTTTTGGGGGGGGGGGGATCCAACAACTCACTCACAACATCAAAACTGCAAAAAACTGCTCGAAAAAGCGACAAGAAACAGAGAAGGCACACACCTAAGCACTTATGTGTGTACCTTCTCTGTTTCTTGTCACTTTTTTGTGCAGTTTTGTATGAATTACCAACTCGACCAGCGTTCAGTACTCCTAAGTTATATGACTCACTCGCCTATAAATAAATGTAATTTCTTTTCAGACAGCGTAAATGGCGTATTTTTACCATTCTTGATGCAAGCCAAAATGTTGTTAGCGCTGCGCATTGAAAAAAAAATGGGCATCAAAGGGCTGGGAGCGCATATTGCTTGGTAGCCGGCAGTGATGGCCCGAAGCCGGCTCACCTTGTCTGCTGTACGGGCTTCAGGACTGCTCTTGAGTACACATATGTTAAGGCCACACTGTGCAGGATACTGCGCAGTAATCTGAAAAGGCTACTTCCAATGCCTTGCCTTCCCCAAACACTAATCGAGCACTGTGCATTTGCAAGAAATGCCGCCAAAATACGAAGCACTATAGATCACTACATTGTGCTAGATCGAGCTCATTCAGGGTGAAATCAGTCTCATTAAATTTTATATGTGGGGCTTAACGTCCCAAAACCATCATATGATTATGAGAGACGCTGTAGTGGATGGCTCCAAACATTTCGACCATCTGTGGTTCTTCAACGTGCACCAAAATCTGAGCACACGGGCTACATCATTAAGCAAGTGAAATTTGAATGTTTATTCTATTTCCCAAGGGAAATGTTTAACTAAGCATTGAAGTCAATGAACACAAAAACGATATCCAAATCGTTTATTTTACATCTGCTTCTGCGAGATCTCGAACACTATTTAGGTGTTCAGCTTGGATGCAAGCATTCAACATCCTATCGTATTTTGAATCAGCCCGAGCATAGCAACTGCACAATTCGTCTAATGTGTTCTCTCTGCGTACCTTCAAACTGCAGGACTGTGTATCGCGGCCAGCAGTCCATGGTGCACGCTTACGAGCGCTGCCTAAGGAGCTACAAGGCTCGCAGTACTGGTGCCTTGGCCGCGAATACCCCGCTGTCTCCAGCGCCTTGGGCCTCCGCTGCCGACGGCGGAATGCCCAACGGTGATCCTTCCTAGCGGTTGAAGCGGACCCTTACCTGCTGTGCTGCCCCTTTACCAGCGAAACGTTAATGCTTAACAGGAGTGCTGGTAGATTTAGAATGAACGTTAAACTGCGACATAAAACCCAATGCTCGAACTCGAGCGACTAGATCAGAATGATTCGATGTAAATATACAGGATGAGTTCTGTACATTCAAAAAAGTACAGAAAGATAAGTATCGAGGTTGCTCCTTTAGGGGAGTAATTAACCTTCCACAGTCACCACTCCCTTTTGGGGGTAACTATGAAGATACTCCCCTGTCCTCCCGACACTCCTCAAGGAAGCGACAGGTACCTTTCGCGCGAAACAAAAATCAGATCTTGGTTGACATAATTGGCATTTCCAAGTGTGCGCGGGCATTTGATTAAATGTTCAATCGACATGCAAGCATTACGTTGGAAAAAAATTTCAGGAAATTTACAGTAAACACTGGGGGCTTGAACTCACGACCAGTGAGTCAGCATACGCCTATACACTAATCACTACACTACATTGCGCTACGGCACCATCTGGAAGGACATGAGTGTTATTCAACGATGAGTCATTTGCACACGGCGAGAACATTCCTGCAGTTGCTTATAAAAAAGGAGCGCTTTCCTCCACAATGAGGAAAGCAGCCTTCTAGCCATGACGTGTGCAAACTTTTGTAATCTTTTTGTCTTTTGGAGCAGCAAAGCGCCATTTTCGTGTTAACTATGCAGTAAATTCACAAAACTTTTTAGAGTGTAGGTGGGCGCACGTGTGCTGGCGTATGTTTCTCAATTAGTCCGGGGGGCTTAGGCAGGGGGAGGGGGTATGTGTACATGCTGTCTTCCAAGGTCCACACACTCCTCGAATGAGAAATCGGGGTGCGACGTATATGGTAAATCATGAACGAAGTATACATCACTGCCCAACTTTGTAATAACTTTAGTGCGTAATTTCAGTTTCAAGTTGGAACTAATGTCTACTGAAGTATTATGCGTTTAGCAGCATAAAGGAACTAAGCAGTGAAGTAGTTTTATGTGAGTCACAGCCTCACAGGCAAAGTCTATTGCGTTTTTACGAGTACTACTTTTTTTCTCTCTCGCAGACCTTGCTGACAGAAGCATTGTGCATATATATCCCGTGAGAAATCGTCACTTAACTATTTTTTTATTGCTCACCCTCTTCACGGAGTGTCTGTGAACAGCCTGATTGATTGATTGATCGATTGATTAATTGATTGATTGATTGATTGAGTGAGTGAGTGAGTGAGTGAGTGAGTGAGTGAAAAATTTCATTGGGGTCCTGCGGGGCTCCCCCTCGCGCACAGGGGGCAACTACCCCGTCGGGAGTTTGAGTCTCATGAATGCTGGCATACCGAAGAGGGCGGGAGGGGGGGCACTTGCTTAATTCTACCTTGCCGAAATTTTTCATTTTACACGCGTACATATACACACATACACACACGCGCGCGAACACACGTCAACGTAGGTTCAAACATTCTCGTCCCTCGAAAAACCAATGGCCACGACGACGCTTTACGAGAAGCAAGGTCAGAGTGACGTGACGTTGGTTACCAAGCAACGACGTTTTATTCTCATTATTGTATTTTGTGTGGGTGGTATTTCACACCTCTTCTACAGACTGCCTCAATACCCAGAATTTTCATTCTAATGTATAAGTACTTCACCCTTCTGCACAGCTCTTCCAAGCTGCCGATATTCCTACGGTTTTCAACACGTATAACTTACGCCTTGTTTCTTAGATATAAATATGAAATAAACAACAATATTCCAATGCTTGCAGATTTGGCAGAATTAGCCGAATATTCTTCTTCGTATCTCTTACGGCTCATGAAAAAATACGAAACAAGAACACCGCGCACAAATTACTGGGTCCAGATGCTAAGAAAAACCTTGCCCTCTGAGTTAAACCTGTTATCACAAAATGATTTTGACATTTATTGTTGCAACTCTGCACTTCATGCTTTCTTAGTGAGCTGATGTCTAAAATGTTAGCTTTGAACTAATCTTTGATGTTTTTTATTGCATGTAGAATAATGTATGCTTTTTTTGTGTTTATACTTATGTACACCTCTTTTTGTATACCAACACTGCATGCTGAACTGTAATCGGCTGGGAAGCCTAGCCAAGCTCACAACAGCTCTTTCATCCCATGCCCTCTACTTCCTGAACTAGAAAATAAATGATTGATTGATTGATTGATTGATTGATTGATTGATTGATTGATTGATTGATTGAATTTATACGGGTTGAGTGAGTGAAACAACTTTATTGTTGATCCGGCATGAAGGGGGTAGAGGTAGGGGAATTAAAAGAAAACTCTAGCATGCTCGCACGTCCCGGAGCAGCAACCAAGCTCGTGGGGGCGCCGCGTTTTTTCTTTTAAGCTAACAGTTTTTTTTATAAAAATGTCATTACAGTAAGGCTTCTGTCGTTTTCCACACAAGCTCCACGTTGAAGTCGAAATACTTTTCCACTGCTTAAATGACGCTGTTGTGATTAATGAACAAAAATAAATTTCTTTCCTAATTACTAAAGTGAGGGCAGATAAATACTTATATACAAGGTTCTAGTGCGTGCCAATTTTTAGAATATTAAAATTCAAATAGGTTGCACGTAGTTTGAGATATTCATGATCGAAATTGACAAGTATCTGCCACTGACTGCTTCGTGTGCCATAGCACCGATTCACGAAAGTGCCGCAATGAGCGCCCCAGAAAGGCAACAATGTCGTCGGGCACACGTCGTGCCTTAGAGAAGCAAGGCAGAAGGTCAGCGCGCGTTCGCGGCTCAAGCTACGAACCTCTTCGTCCCGTGTTGATGAAGCGCAGTCTGGTAGTGTAGGCACGAGTCCAGGCGTAGGTCCATGTTCTTTCGTTCTTATAACACTTTTTATGCCTGTAAATCATGCTTTGCTGCATACACACCATATTTGCAACAAAGCCAACTTTTTAGGCCAGAAATAGGGGTGGGTGGACGTATAGGTTGACGACTTCAGCTTCCACAACAGTTAAACCGTGATCGTCAGCGTTAGTCATCGCGATGTAGATGTGCCACTAGGCGTCGACGAGGATGTATCCATAGAGTTTGCTAAAATAACTAGAGGGTACTCTGGCGCTGCGATCGTTCAGCGACCATTGGAATTCAGGGTAGTACATGGATTTGCCTTTACTCTAACTTCGAACACACTTGCGACTTTGTTTATTGGTGTGTTTTCATTTTGTTTGAAATAAAAAAAACTGCTTGAACTTTTCACCTTTTCCCTCAGAAAAAGCAGTTGTGAAAGTTCAGCAAGAATCTATGACACTAAATTTACTCTGGGTCTCAGGAGGATATCTGGGGGAACAATGAAAATCAGCCCAAAAACACGTCAAGCGTATAGAGACTATGCCATGCAAATCCGCGAAAAACTTAACTTAAGTCCACTTGTTGTAAGCAGAACTGGCAACTATGCTCGAGACGAACACAGGAGAGCGCCCGTCCGGGCCATTCGTAACTCTGTCCACCATCTTATAGACCAACGTTACTAGAATAAACTCAGTTTCAAAGCTCCGTATCTCCGCCAGCTGAAGGGGATGGGCCGAACGGCGGTCGCGAGAACCAGCGGCGCTGCAGTCTGAACTTGCGCTACTCTCGGCGCATCGTCTGCTACGGCGACGTACCGCACCGGTTCGCTGCGCGGTACCTCGCGCCGGCTTCCCTGTTGTATACTGTTATCGAACTTGACTATTCATCATGCGCTTCCAGACAACATTCTCACGTCGCATTTACCAGTCAACAATCTCGCGTATCATATGAGGATTGATTGATTGATTGATATGTGGGGTTTAACGTCCCAAAACCACTCTATGATTACGAGAGACGCCGTAGTGGAGGGCTCCGGAAATTTAGACCACCTCGGGTTCTTTAACGTGCACCCAAATCTGAGCACACGGGCCTACAACATTTCCGCCTCCACCGGAAATGCAGCCGCCGCAGCCGGGATTCGAACCCGCGCCATATGAGGATTGGACAAGGTCTCCTGTATAGATTCGCCCGGATGTGTTGCTCATTGCAAGTTCGCTAAGAATCGATGTCCTGCCTATATTTGCGCTGTCTGCACTCGCTTGAACCTCCAAGTACTAGAAATTCTACGTGAATGAGCATTTCCAGCGTAAAAGTTTTATGACGACCGCTAGCATATTAGCTATTGTCATCTTGCCTAGACGAAAAACGGCCCAAAACGTCTGTAAAAGCCTCAAACATGTTGACTTACTGAAATACCAAAATGCTCTATAAAAACAGTACTCATGTTTTTTACTAGTTACAAAAAAATAAAAGACTTTCTTCAAGAAACAGTACCCACAACTCACACTGCCTATCAGACAAGTATTCGCGATGGCTACCAAGCGAGAGCAGAGTGTAAAATGTTATAGCAACTTCCCTCCTTCCTTACATTTATCGCTTTTTTTTTTCAGAAAGCTCCTGATTGATTTTCTTGCAAAAAAGGGGGGGGTATGTACTCATCGCAATGTAAAACACAATAATCACGTTATCATGATGAGCAGTGCAGCTCAAACGATGCAGTGGCGACCACTCCAACTTATCAAGCACAATCCAAAAGAGTTCATCAACCAGGGGGTTTTCGTGAAAAACCTCTCGACAGCTTTCTCAATTGCTTCTAATGTAAAAAAGGCCATGTAAAGGATGATCTAAGCAGCCTTCTTGAAAACACCTCAACTGAATGAGTTGCACCTTCGTGTGGTTGCAGTTACTGTACTTGCAGTAGACACTCTACGATAGGTTGAAACGGCCAGTGTTGCACACACGGTCGTTCCTCACGGCACGGTTGAGGCATACACCGAGACCGAAGCTATAGGCTAGTAATTGAGAAGGTGTTTCGCACAGGGCCCGGTTAGGCTATCGCAGTCTACTCTTGAAGGCGAAGCTGGAGCGTCTTTGAGCTTCTGTAATTGTTGTGTTTGTAACTGTTGTGTAAATGTTGTCCC